CCCCAAAACCCCAAAACCCCAAAACCCCAAAACCCCTAACTCAATACTATTTAATGAAACTTAAAACATATTCATATTTTATTCATCTCAGTATAATTTTTCACATTCCTCTTTGGTTTTTCCTTTAGTTTCTCTCACAAATTTCCATATAAATAGAGATCATAACACTTGGACAAATGCCAGTCCAAAGTACATACCTGGAGCTGTAAGATGTTCAAACATCAGGTTTGCGAATGTGGCAAACAAGCATGTGAAAACCATATTGATTAAGGCTACAACTGATGTTCCAAAGTTGTCAAGAACATCTGAAGAGTAAATCCACATAGCTGGGCCCATCCCTCCGTTGAAAACCATGATATATGCCATTGTCATTATAATAATCCCAATATCAAAATCTATTAACGAAAATATTCCAGATAGGAAATGAGATCCTAAAATGACAAAACCACTTGCGTGGAAGAAGAATTTCCTGGAGAAAATCTTAAACAGGAAAACTGCAATTGCAGTTCCTATCAAAGCAGACACTCCAAGAAGGAGAGTTCCTAATCTGGCTCTCTTTTCAGCAGTATTTCCTTCATCTCCATCCTTGAAGATCTCAGTTGAGAAGAAAGTAATGGCGTTAACACCAGTAGCTTGATGGAAGAAGCTCAATAGGCAACAAATTATAAATGCTTTCTTATAGTGAGGAGTCCACTCTCTTTTCACAGGCTTAGCATCAACGCTATCATTCTTTTCAGACTCATTCTTTTCAGACTGAGTTTTTTGGTCCTTCAAGTTATTCTGAGAGTCATTAACTTCTTTAGCAGAAGCTTTAGGAGATTCCTGTTGTTGTTCCTTTGATTCTTCATCACCACCATCATTCTCTTCTGACTGATGGTCTTGATAAATATTGTTCTCCTTCTCTTCAGAATCATCTTTATGATCCTTGTCTGACCCAGAGTTGATCTTCCTCTTAGTCTCAGAGAGTTCAACATTGTTCTCAGGGTCATTCTGCACCTTATCATTAGAGGTAAGCAAGCTTGTGATCTTGCCGTAGTTCGTCATGTTTCCTTTGAGCTTATAGAAAACTGGAGTGTCGTACCTGAACACAAAGAAGAAAAGTCAAAACTGAATTATACCAAAAATAATAGGAATCCCTCAAGTAATTCTCCACAGCCTAGTGGTTTTTGCTTCAGGGTCATCTGGTAAGGGAAGAATGTAAATCAGAGCAAAGGAGAAGAATAGACCAGAAACAAAGTTCATTTGATTAAGACTTCCAAGAATTCCAGACATAGAAGGAGGGCTGATCTCTGAAATATACAATGGGCAAACAGAAAAGTATATCCCAATAGCAAACCCCATAATAAATCTTCCAAAAATCAGAGCGTACATATTAAATATCAGAGTAAGAACAGTTCCAACTACCAAGATCACACTCGTAATCATAAATGTAATTCTTCTTCCTCTCTTAGTAATCTCTCCAGCAGCAAGGGACCCAAATATCGCTCCAAAAGGTAACATCCCTGACACCACCGAATTGAACAAGTCTGAATCAGAGATCCTGTCCTTATCTAAACCCATCAGCACAAATCCTCTTACCATAATTAACATACTGCTTATGCAGGATCCCCGTGAGTCCATTATAGTACCCAAAGGAATATCCTGAAATCAGAAACCCTGTCGCTGCAGTCAGCGAACAGGTGACCAAATACAAAATATTGGGTTTATCCGTGCCCATTTAAGAAATCTATATAAATTTTAATTCATTCTTTTTGTACAAGTTCGGGGTTTTGGGGTTTTGGGGTTTTGGGGTTTTGGGG